GACTTGAACTTAATTTTATCCTTTTTGCAGTGGGCATTAACACGTCCGTTTGATCTGTTTTTCTGCTACCTTTGTAGTTTTAGCTCTGAAAAAATGTGACATTAACAATTCGAAGGACAATAAGCAATCTGCCCGACAGAAACACATGAAGATGTTCAAACAGGAACAAAACAAGCAAAGAATCACTGCACGAAAGGGACATTTAGAAATCAAAGCTGGGATTCTAGTGTTGAACTACGGGATATCACTGAATGTGCTTTAGTAAGGACAGGGGATGAAATATTCTGTCAAGTCGGGAAAAAATACAGCGAGCAGTGTGCAAAGGCCGCTAAGAACCGTCACACTCCTAGACTTTTAACAAATTCACATTCCCATTTTCATAGATGCAAACAATAAGATAAGATAAACAATCAGATTATCACCATAGGTCCAGAGGTCAGGTTGGAGACAGCAGAAATGAAAAAGGAGAAATTGTCCACGTGAAAAAGGATATCAGAACAAAGTAAAAGTGTGGATGCAAGGTTATGCTGGAACTCAATAGGTCTTGCTCATTAAGACTTCCAAATTTGGCTTAAGGCCTAATAGTTATTAACCATTAATAGAAATTAAGAATTAATTCAACTTTCAATACAAATCAGTCAAGTTTCTTGCTATGGAGGTGAATGCATAAAGTCGTAAGAAACTTTGTGCTCATATGCAAGATTATGGCGGAAGTCAATTGGTCAAATTCATTAATACTTCTAAATGTGCTTCTAGGCCTAAAGGTTATTAACAATTAAGAGAAATTAGAAAAAATTCAACTTGCACTCCAAGTCAATTTTGAAGTCTCTTGCTATGGAGGTGAATGCTTGAAGTCTTAAGAAATTTGGAGCTCTATATATTATCAACTGTATCATTCAGTCTGCTATTGAAGACTGCTGTCGTTGAAATTTGCATCTTTACGCCTAAAACTATATGTTCCATATTTGCAAAAACTCCGTAGTGCTAATTGACATCTATAAGCCCACACACCCCACAATCAAACACCACAAAAGCCCAGAAGCAGGGGAATGTAGAGACAGATTTCACCATCATTTCCCTAAGCAAAACAAAGAATAAAATTCAGTGTTGACATACGAAGAAGCTGAACAAACAGAATGGAGGAAATCCACCAAACTGGTAGGGTCAGAAACAGAGAAAAGCAATTACCTGCTGAATGCAGAACAATCAGTAATGATTTTGTTCAGCTTTACTGGCAAGTGAACTCTCAAACGTTCCACCAAGATGAGTTTACATTCAAATCATTTAAACATGAGAAAGCAATAAGTTAAACACCAACTTTCTATGAAGAAGCAAATCTCACTCAGTTTCAAGTCACATACACATCGGAACTTTATAATTTATCATGTCCAAATCCCAAATCACCATTTGCCAAATTTACATTCCCATTTTTTTAGATGCAAACAAAAGTTTTCTACAAATGGAGGTACCAACAACTCGGTTGAAATCACCATTTGGAGATACAACACCATAACAGAGGCAAAATGTGGAGGTACAAAGGATTATAAGTCATTCGAAATGGCATTCCAAATTATCAACCGAAAGTATGAATCACATTCAGTTGCCAATGAGCCAGTGATTGTCGTTTTAGTTGGATAGTGAACAAGACAAACGAATTTGGAGTGGAACCAATCATTTACTGATGTAGAAAAATATGCCGCCACATATTAATTTGAAAGTAATGCATAAAAGACAAATCCCGAAAAACCCTAACAAACTCCAATTTCTAGCATCAGAAATGAGTTTCGAACCCCAAATTCCATCTCTTATATGGTAACCTGTCCTCTCTACAAATAGAGCCATCTCTTATATAAATTGTAGTTGGTCAGAAAGTTAATTGCTTACCGAATTCAATTTCACACAGTTTCTGTTCATACAGCACTTTGTTGAAGCTATCTGTTCATGCTTGAATGCTGCAGATGACAAGAACACCGATCGCTAGACTGAGGCGATTTGCAACTCCCAACTTCAGAAGCCAAAAATAGGCTACAACGAGGTAGCTACAGCTCAATTTTTGTGAGAAAAACCCAAGGGAGAGGTACTGTATTGAATTAGATAGCTTTCCCAACTCGTGAGTCAGTGGGTTTCTTGTTTACTTTCAGCTGGATTTTGAGCATGTGAATCGAATCCAAGGACTGAATTTGCTAGCTATCTGCGAATGGGACAAGATAAAGGCCTATCTTTTGCACTATTGGATGGGAGAAAACAGTCAGGAATCAAGAGGAGGAGCACGACTTAGGAGAATAAATTCTGTACAAGTTTGGAAGCTATCATTGCAGCTTTACCTTTACTCTTCTCCTTCAATAGCACCAACGGTAAAATATTGCACAGTGTTCTGCTAATTGATGTCTTACACATACAGATGAGAACATGCGTGGGACTACCAAGGGTCCCCAGGAATTTCCACGTGGATGCATGCTTTATAGCAACCTTGAAAAGCCGACTCCACGTGTGATGGCAAGTTTTGGGAGATAGATTCAATTATTTTGGTTATTTGATGTGTTATCTAAATACTTTTGTGTAGCATTATTTGAGGTAATCAAAATAATGGCCTATCCAAACACACTCATTGTAAGTACAACGATATCAATTTGTCGAGAGATTTACCAACTGATTTATTCTTGTCATCCATGTGATGCACCAAATCAATAAATTTTGTATAGTTAAACTTCACGGGCATGATTTCATTAACATCATCATTTATTTCTTCAATGACAGTTTTAGTGCTGATCACCCACTGGATAGTAAGCTCAGTTGTCTGAAATTTTGCTGGGATAGGCTTCGCTTCAGCATTTGTGATCTTGTACTTTTTATGAACACGTAAGAGTGGGCTCATTTTAGGAATATCAACATTGAAGATTATTGCTTCAACTTTTGATCCCTGGGACATAGAATTGGCAAGTTTACAATTAGTTAAAAAATAGAATATCTTGTTATTACAACTATATGGAAGAAAAAGGGTACAAAGTTCTACTAACCTCTGCATCATAGAAGATAAATTTTTGCTTTTTTGTTGGTGTTCCCTTTGAGTCAGTGATCTGCTGTTTTTCCTGAACAGTGATGATGCAACTCCAATTCTTCATGAAAGGGACAATGTCTCGGATAGGTAGCAAGTTAGTCAGTCTGCATGAAGATCAAAATATACATAAATAAATACAAATAGACAAGTTAAGTGTAAGAGTATATTGGTTAAAGAAAGATAAATCTGTATGTGCACCTCATTCCAATATATAATTAAAGCAGACAGATTCTTTACTGTTGAGTCAAATGAAAAATTTCATTAAAGACAACATTCCTAGTTTTGCAGTCAATCTTTTTCTCATAAAATGTTCCAGGAACAAGAAGAACCTTAAGCTCAGCAGCAGTTCTAGCTCTAGAAAGAGCAACGTATAGCTGTGCGTGGGAGAAAACAGGTTCACGCAAGTAAAGACCAACACAGTCAAGAGTTTGTCCTTGTGCCTTATTAATGGTTAATGCAAAACAAAGGTGGATAGGAAATTGAGTTCTTATGAACGGAATCCCATTCCTTTCATTGTCAGAGGTCTGAAGAGGTATTTTTGGGATGAAGACTCTTTTTCCTGCATGAGTGCCAAACACAATTTCTGCAGAAATGATATTTAAGCTAAGCTCTCTACATATTAACCTTGTGCCATTACACAATCCTTCATTAGGATTTAAATTCCTTAAAAGCATAATAGGACAGTTTTCTTTTAGCAGCAACTTAGAAGGAGGAAGTCCTTTTGGATTTTGCGAATTTAGAAAATCTTCATAGTCGCCTTGGTGTCGCTGCTCAACAGTCCGATCTGAACTGATATAAACTTGAACATTTCCAGGAAATCTGTTTATCAATAGCTCATTGAGCTCATCGACTGAGCTATTTTTGGGAGCAAGGATGCATCTATTTATCATGCTATAAGGATCTTTAGAATGCAGCTGCAAATCTGGAAAAACACTTTCAACTAACCTGTTTAGAATTATAAATAGTTATAATCAATGAAAGACAGAGATAAAAAGAGGAATCAAATAGATAAAGTACAACTGTATGTAACTTGTTAACCTGCTTAAAGATTGTTCTTTATCATAATAAGGAATAACTATATCAGACGATAAAGTGATTTCGCCATTTGCATCTACAAGTTCTCTTCCCTCGCCACTCTTAATAAGAACTGAGAGAAAGCAGGATCTAACATGGCTCTCATATTAGGTGTGAGTTTCAGCTTGTGTAATTTAGACCAGAGAACAGAGTTAGGAAAGCTTGATTCTATGAGGACTTGCTTTGTTGCTCACTCAATAACTGGCAAAGTTTGCCGAAAATCTCCACAAAAAATGACAACTTTTCCTCCAAAAGACAAATCAGAATCCATTATGTCTTTAAGCAGATCGTCAAATGCTTCAATTGTCTCTCGCTTAGCCATCGATGCTTCATCCCAAAGGATAAGTTTACACTCTAAAAGCAACTTGGCAACACTGCTTTGTTTGCTGAGTTGACAAGCTTTATTCTTTGAAAAGTCTAATGGTATCTTAAATCTTGAGTGTGTTGTTCTTCCTCTAGGAAGAATAGACGCTGCAATGCCAGAAGTGGCTACAACAATGGCAATGTAACCCTGTGATCTTAATGTAGCAAGCAGTGATCGGTATAAGAATGTTTTACCAGTGCCTCCTAGACCATCAATAAAAAAAGCTTCTCCCTGATCAGAAAAACATGCTGCAAGAATCAGGTTATAAGCATTTTTTTGTTCGCAGTTTAATTTGAGAGACAGTAACAGATCCTCTGGAGCAACATGTAAACCTCTTTCGTTTTCGATCTCCTTTGTCAATCGTTCATGAGAAGGAGAATCAAAATCATTCGAAGCTAATTGGTAATCAGTAATTCTTTTTCCCATCTGCTCCAATGACCTGTTAATGTCTTGTAGGACTCTTGTTGTGATCTCTGAAGAAGTAAGGACGGAAAATGAGCATTGTCACTGATAGTCTGTTGAGAGTTCATGGCGAAATTTTTCCCACAGCAGTCGAGGATTTACTGGAGAACAATGAACAAGCAGAGTGGCAAATAGCAATCTTAAGGAAGATGGCATCTGAAAGGTCATGGCTTCTTGAAGTGTATCCTCTATGTAAGTATCGGATTGCAATAGTCCTAATGCTAAAGCAGCTTCTCTAAAGGAATTCAGCTTTTGATTAACAACCGTCAAAATATCATCAAAAGAAGTTGGCCCATGAACATGATTTAGAAAAAGTCTCAAGTAGTATCTTTCTCCATCTGCTGGACTAACAGTAACCATTCCACCTATCACTTTTCGACGCTTCCTTTTAGTCCATTTCTTATATTTAGGAGACCAAACAAAAAATCGAGGGAAATCCTTGTAAAGACATTTAAGATTCTGTGCAACCACATTTGTTCTGTTCATATGAAAAAATTCAGTTAACATGGTTTTTGAAAAATCAACTTTCCTCAATAATTGCAACAGGTCTGAATTTTTGTCGAAAGAAACAAACTGTTGGTCCCGAAGATGGATCTGAAGAGTATAGACTGCTGGAGTCATTTCACTTAAGCGGAATTCAAAAATGCGCCAAAATACCTCAGGGGTAAAATCCGTCTACCTTGCTGAAAGTCCTTTATTTCATCAGTGTCATCAGGAGCATGATGCGAAACTATCTTAAAACTGATTGAGTCATGTCCTTTGAAAACATACTTATACATGTACTTCACCAATTTAACAATCGAGCAAATTTCTACATTGATATGGCAGTCAAATGTAGCTAACAGATAGGGACTTTAAGACACAACCCATCTATTATTGAGAGTATGCCTTCGGACTTTTATTTTTCTACCATCATCCCACCTTCTATATTGTGGATAACTATTTTCAGTCGTTTGAGTACAAAAACTCTTTGGATAGCGATTTTTACAATGACCATCTTTCACACAAGGACAAGTTCTATCCATATCACCACAAGGACCATGAATCATATGTTTTACAACAAGAGAATATAGATGAGGATGCTTAGAACGATCAGGTATTTTAGCATAGACCACTCTATCATGACTCTGGATTTAGGAGTTTGTATTCAGGCTTCAAAATAAATAGCAGATACGCATGTGGGAAGCCACGTTTTTGGAACTCAATCACATAGACACATGTTGCAACTTCTCCAAAGATTTGCTTGGTCAAAACTTCTGATTTAAGCAATTCAAATTTGGCTCTAAAGACTCTAGCCAGAAGATCCGGTCTATCCTGAGGTTTTTCGTGGTACTTTAAATTATCCTGAATTTCCTTCCATGCCGGGTTGCAGGTCATAGTAAGAAAGATGTCTGGTTTTCCATACTTTTGCACAAAGGACATTGCATCAAGATATCGCCGTCTCATGTCCCTTGGTCCACCAATAAAGGAAGTTGGTAATATCGTTCTAACTTTAGAAGCATTGGTCTGGCCTATAGAAATACTGTCTAGGACTCCTTGAAGAACCTCAGAACGAATGTTCTTTTGTCGGTTTCTATGAAAATCAAGCCTAGACGTTTCAATCTTAACATAACCATCTACTGCATACTGTTGCAATAATCTAAGCGAGTGCAGCAACATCGATTCATCATCGTCCTTGATCTGAAATCTGTAACAATAGTATTCTCTAGCTAACACTGTGTCTTCTTCATTTTTTGCACGATCAACAGCTAGAGAAAAAGGATGAGTAATTATTTAGTTTGATGATATTTATAATGTAAAAATAATGGTTAAACTCAATTGTTTAGAAGCGGCAATAAATAACTTGCCTCTTTGTTCACGATCCATTAAACCTGATACGGAATCAACCGAAGAAGGATGAATATCAATATCTTTCTCACAGGAATCCTCTCTTCTCTTTCTTTTTCGAACTCTTTTAATCCCAGGGTGCCATCCGCATTCACCGCAGGGAAACAGAATAGGGTATTGCAATGGATCATAGCAGCCATAGTAATGTCTAATTCTATAGCTGCTATTTGAATGCGTATAAACTTGAATATGAGTTCCCTTATGGCCTGATTCACCTTGATTTTCAGTCCATATTGCTGCAACTAGGGATGCAGAAGGAAGGTTATAAACTCGCTAATCAATGGTGGGATAACAATTAAGTACAATGTTCAGGCTGTCAATGTTTGGAACATGCCTAAGATTTCTGAAGAACTTAGCATAAGGATTGTCACTAAGAATGCGCATAAGGAGTCTTAATATGCTTTCTCGCAACTTATTAGAGGTAGCAATCCTCTTTGCTAATTCTTCATCAATGTCAAAGAAGTACAGCTGAATCCCGGATGCTCTATCATCTGACTGAACAAGGCCATTAAGAAAATAATAAACCTGACCCTGAACACGAAAGGTGTAAACACCTTTTGTGTTCTTTGTTAGTTCAGAATCATATTTAGTAGCAAATGGTGTGAAGCCTAAGTTATTGTTGTAAGTGTGAGCATTATTTCTAAAATGGAAGCTTTCCTCATCGCTACCAATGAATAAGCGCTTCAAATCACAAGGCATAGGAGGAGCGACAACAGAAATTTCTCCTCCTAAGCATCAAAAATTAGGAGGTTCCAAATGGAATCTTTTGGCTCCACAATAGTCACAATGAGGAGCATCAGGCAAAGCCAAAGACACATTAGGAATGTTGTTCACGAGTGAAAGATTTGGCTGACCACGCTTTCGTTTTCTCCCTGTAATTTTTTGCATGTGGTTAGTAGACAGGTTGAGTTAATGCTGTGTATAAACAGGCAAGAACACATCCTAAACACAGACAGAGTTAAGTGAGAAACAACACTAAACCTGCATTTTCTGTTCTCGTGGCAGAAGAACTACTACATTTCTTGCTATGCGCAGAAAGTCCAGATGACAGATCAAGGGAAGCATTCCTATTTTTTTCCTTCCCTGGCGAGCAGAGTTTGTTGTAGACTGATTAAACTCTCTTCTTGGAAAAGAAGAGGTTTCTGTGGATAATAAAATTGAATAAGACAACTTGCAAAGTTGTGCAAGGCTTTATATATGCACATTTAGTTAACAGTAAAATATGTTGAGGAGGCGAAGGAGCAAGTAATCGGGCTATAAGTTATAGCTTAAAGAGAACTGAACAAGGAGTGTTTAAGAGAGGGATTGTACCAAAGGAAAGTCGAACCTTTGGAAGCACTTGGTAATGCACGATGTGTTTTTTGACTAAGAGGTCAATATTTGAAAAATAGAATTTTCGATTGTGGGAAATATAAGTTGAAGAAGGCCCGGCTGCTATAATCTAAAATGGTCATAACTCATCAGAATCTGATTCTGAATAGAAAAGTCTTGCAAGGTTCTAAATACTGAATAGAACTGTTGTAGCGCGCAAACAAAAGGGAACTCATTTGCAACAACGCAGAGTGCATAGTAATCAATAGGAAGGCAGAGGAGCAGCAATAATGTGAAAGGGGAAAATTCAAATCCGGCAGCAAAATAAGATAATAAAAAAATACCTTTATTAAGAGATGGTGCAGACCTGGAAGATGTTTTTTTTTTAGAAGATGATGAAGCATGATCATCGAGAAAATTAGAAACATCAGAAGGAATGCAGCGCAACTCTCCACCTCCTGTAACAACACTATCAACTGGAACCAAGCACTCTCGATTTTCCAGTGCACTAGAAACCACACGAGTTTGATCATCACTACCAGAAGGTCTATCATGACCATACGAGAAACAAACAGCAGATTCCACACAAGCAGGCGGAACCTTCTGAATGAGAGAGAGGAAAAGTTTTTGTTTTTTCTTCTCAACTCTAGCCTCTCGCAGAGAACGCAAAAATTCAGCTTTCTTGGCAGGTGCCATTTCTGCGTATTTTTTTCGACACAAGGCGTTTCTATCCATCTAATTCCAGATACTAAGTAAGGAAGCAGCAACCCAAGAATAAGATAATAAAGGCTACTAAGTAAGGAAGCAGCAACTAAGTAAGGAAACATGGCAAGACGAAATTTAGCAATAAGGAATAAGATAATAAGGCTGGCCAACGCAGTATCATACAACTGGTGAGCATAAAAGCATAGAGAAAGAATGTGCCAGTGAAAGCGTACAAGCAAACGAAAAAGATGGACGAAGGGAACCACAAGCACAGAAGCATGCAACAAAGGAAGAAGGGAAAATAGCTGCATGGTTGATTAGAAAAACATGCCAACGCACACTAAAAGCAAACAAGGTAACAACATAGGGACATAGTAAGAAAAAGTCAAGAAAAAAGAAGGAGAAGGGAAGTAACACCACCTCAGGCAAACAGGCAAGCAGCCACACCTCAGCCAATAAAATAGCAACAACAAGGCACACAGAATCTCTTGCTGTCAAAACAAGAGACAAAGAAGTGAGAAGCAAACGTGACATAAGACAAAGTACAACAGAGAGGAGCAAACAATTTCGAAAAATGCAGACAAAGCATAAAACAAGAAAGATACTAACCTGAACTCAAAAAGGAGGAACTAACAGGAGAATCCGAAGAGAACAAAAGCTACAAAAGAACAGAAGGATTCAGAAGTCGTGTACAATAGAGGATCTTCTAAGCAAGAGAAAGAAAAAGATTCCAAAAAGCAATACAGACGTAATATAAAATGGTGGGAAAGGCAAAAAAAGAGATAAAGCGTGAACAGAAAACAAAGCAAAGGGGAAAAAACAATGGAAATTCATAACATGCAGCAGAACATGCCTACCAGCATCTAACCGAAAGTTGCAGAGATGCAAGCAAGCTTCTAAACAGCAAGGCAGCAACAAAGCAATACAAAGGAAGGCCAGGAAAATAAGCAGGAAGAAGATTAGTTCATCGTTCATGAAAGAGAACAACAAGTAAGACTAATACAAACAGCACTGATCATAATGCAGGACTTCCAAAATCCAACGGGAAACTGACGACCTCACCAAGACTGTACGAAAAATTTTTCATCAGTCTCGTTATCAGCCAAAGCAAAGAAGAAAGAGCGGAAAGTCATTCTTTGTCAGCATTGCACAGCGTTTACAAAGAAAAATTTACACTAATAGGCCATTGAATACAACATGGCCTTTAGTGCAGAATCCGTAATAGCAGCATAATAGTCAGGGTAAAATTGTCATTTCAGTTTCCCTTTATTTAGATGACCACCTAACCTTTGTCATTCAAGAAGACATATCACACCTGCTACAATGTGTCATAACAACTACTCTTACCACTCTCTTCCTCCTCACATTATTAGTACTATCCTAATCTTGCAGTCTTAGTTCTAGTCCTATATGTATATATTATTATAAATATATAGCAGAAAGCAAGAAAAAAACGCTCATGAAAACGAGGCCTTATAGTCTTAGTCTTCTAAGAACTAAGAAACAAGGACAGAATGAAACAACAAAAACGGAAAGGAAACCAATTGAAGATGAAGTTGGAAGAACACTCTCCAACCAATCACGTTTTGCCACATCACCAACAGTACACACTCTCGAGGCATGGCATTCCCTCTTTTATACATATTTGTAATAATGTGTTGATTAGAAGTTCATTCTATTTTTTCTTCGAAGGTAAACATTTCTTTCATTGCTAGGGCTACAAGATGAACTATTCCATTTGATCATCAAATTGAGTTAATTTGGTAAGAGCTCAGTCAAGATTGACTATTTGACTAATCAAACCAAACATGTACATTATTTTATATTTACTAAAGTTTTAAAATCAGTTCAAATTTAGTTCGATTAGCATTAAATTTAAACTTTATGTAAATATACTCAAGCTGCTCAATTTAATACATATTGATTTGAGTTCGTCTCGATAAATAGACAAGCTAATTTTGAACACAGTTTAAAATTTATTTAAATAGACAAGCTACATTATTTTCTGTGTATTAGATTTATCACAGGAGACTTTTTTGTATTTTACCCTTAGACTTACTTACACTCCTATTCATCGCTTGGGTATCGGATTTCCAATAAAAAGACATACTTTATCAAAACACCCACCTAATAACACTAATCTACAAATGAAACTCATACAATCATCTCCTTATTGTTCTCTTAAGCTTAATGCGTGTTTGTACAATCATCCAGTGGTAGAGCCAGGATTTTATCCAAAAGAAAAAAGGTTTTATGAACAGTTAAAATAAAGACAAAGATGTACTACTGAATTAATAAAAATCATTAAAAAAAGGGTTGTACGAGGGTTTGGTCTTTCCACGTAAGCACTATCAACAACCTAGGATTTGGCGTGGAATTGATGTGGAATAGGTAACAACTTTTCCCTCATCAACGTGCGCTTTATGAGGTATTTCGCCGAACGACAGTAAATGACAGACATAACCAATTCACGGGCACTTCTCGGCAGTTGGCACAGATAAACCGCAATAATGCTTGATGAGGTTTAAGCCAGTACTTTAAATTTTGGGTAAATTACACTTTACCTCCCTGTAGTTTAGTATTTTTATATAACCCCCATATAGTTTTAAAAACTATACATAACTCCATCATGGTTTAGATTAAAGTGTCAAAATGATGGAAATAGTCATTTGTAATGGAATTTTAAAAATATCGAAATTACCCTTATAAATATATGACACACTAATCCCATATGATTTTATATTTTACCATATAACCTCCTTATGGTTTAATACTTTACCATATAAGCTCCTTATGATTTTCAAAATATACACATAATCCCCCTTAGTTAATAAATAATTTTCAACTTTACATAAGGGTATTTTTGATATTTTAGGTGACTCCATTACGAATGATTATTTTCGGCACTTTGATACTTTAATCCAAATTATGAGGGGATTATATATAGTTTTTAAAATTATAGGGGGGTCATTAAAAAAATACTAAACCACAAAAGGGTAAAGTGTAATTTGCCCTTAAATTTTATACCCATTCCCTCCTTCATTGCAATTATATAGGCCGTTCTTGTAATAAAAGAAGAGTTAGGATTGATCCAACGAGAATCACCACCAATTATTAAGACTTTTTACTCAATATATCATTTAGATTAATAAGAATCTAACTAAAGTAGAGCAACGACCAAGATATAACAATGCAAAGAAAAATTAATGAAATTTAAGAAACTCAACTGAATACAAGTATCTTAGAGAATAGAATCCACTGTAGATGAATTGGTCAATTATCACTAATGCACTAGTTTTGTTAAGAATGCATTTCACTCAAATTATTAGAACTTACTTTCACAAATGAATCGAATTTTGCAAGCACTATAGTTTTCCTACTTTCATGATAAAGTCACAATTGAAGACTTAATCAAGACTTAGAAATGCCAAGAATATCTACCTAAATGTAGTATAACTTTCGTATGCCTACACCTTATGTTCCACCTATTCCATTTCTATCATTTTCAACTACTTTCGTAGATTGATAATAACTAAAATGATTTGCAAATAGTGATCAAGCATTCACAAATATTAAAATAAGAATAAATGAACTAACAAGTATAAGACATAGCAATAATCAACACATTCAACTAAAATCAAAGCACAAATAGGTTAGTTTCATCTATTCCTAGAACAAGAAGATTTAGCTAGATATAGTAGATGCAAGGAAGAAAACTCAAGCTATTAATGTAACTAAACAAAAATCCAACAATAAAGAGAATCGAGATAAAGAAAATGCTCATTTAAGTAAAGAAACAAGATTCTCCAATCTTCATCATCTTTTTTGCCATCCAAATGATATTGTTATACCAAGAGTTCTTCAATGATTCTTCAAGAAGATGAAGAACAAAACTAAATTAAGAGTTAGAGAGAAAAAGTTGTTCTTAAAACTAAAAACTAAACTAAGTTATGTCTTGTCTTCTCTTGATTCATGTATTTCTTCTTGTAGAAAAGTAAAAAAAAATAAAAATAAAAAATGATGCTCCTTAAGCTCCATAATGCTGATGCGAAATGTCCGTTTATGTCACATCAAGTATGGAGAATCATTAAAAAAGTCTTGCAAGTGCCAAGTTACAGCCGCAAAGAATCTCTGCATAGATTCTATATAAACCGGGTATGGATTGTCAATTCATGCATGGTTTCTTGCCAGGGTTTTTGGTGCTCTATTTTAAATCATTGAAGAAAGTTTTTTGCCTACAAACCACGGAAGAAATCGATTGAACCCTCAGAATCCGGTCGCGATTTCTTTTCCCTATTTTCTCTCACTTTCCATTTTTCATCCTTTCAAGTGTTTGAGCTGCGCTGCTTCATTCAATCATTTTTGTGACTTCTCAATCTTCTAAATATCATTCGGTTGATCCACCATTTCACTCTTGATTGAGGCTTGATAGTTCCACCCTATAAAAATACACGACTTTTGCAAGTAAAACAAACAAAATCACAAATTTAGCTAATACTAGCTTGATACACAACTCTTGCCATTCTAAAGGTATAATTGCTTCAAACTTCCTCAAAATGACTCAAAAACATATGAATACAAACCAAATGCTTTTTTGGCAGCAACTCGCTGCCGTCCGTCCTTGTTTTTTTGGATGATTTCATAGTACATTCAATTGTTTCATAAGCGGTTGTCGGTTTTAAAGGAAATTGTTGCAACTTGAATCATGCAAATCGCAATCCCTGCTTGTAAAATGCTTAGTTCTACTATTCGTACGAGCAAAAATAAAACAATCCTAGAGGTTAAAAATGGATTTGGATAATAATGGTCATCATGCTGGTGAGCGTCTTCAAGTTTAAGCTCATATGTGGAACCATCTATTCAACTTCATGTATTCAATATTCCTCAAATGTGCAATTCAATTAGGCATACCAGACACGATGTACACACATGGCCAGCCAATGACCCTTTCTGAATTTACTGATGCTCTTCCCATCAATAATTTAAAGTAG